TTTTTTTTTTTTTTTTTTTTTTTTTTTTTTTTTTTTTTTTTTTTTTTTTATCTCATTCTTCTTCTTCTTTGTATCTCAACAACATGGCTGCAGCAAAAGGCAAGCTTGTTCTTGTAGGATACCAATGGTATCATATATTATATTCAAAATATCGTGTTTCTCCTCATCCTTGTCGCCACAGCTGGTAAGTTTATGAAAAATGGAGGGATATTGTCTACTTTAATAAACTATTCTGCTAAAAAGAGGTTTCTACACTATTATAAAAAAAATATTTTGTTATCCTCTTGAATGGACATGGGGTCCAGCCATTCAAACTCTGTAGGGTCCTAGCACATCTAAGGTGTCAAGGTCATATCTACCTTAGGAATGAATTTAGTAAATAAAAAATATTTCAAAAAAGTAACATTTTAACAATTAAATATAATAAAAAGAATCGAAAAAAAACCATGGCAACAAAATGGGCGGGTCCTGGGTGACTGCTACTTAAGGCCCATAAACTACAAGGAATCTTAGAATGCGGGCCTGTGGTTAAGGCTCGAATTTGTGTGAATGGGCCTGACCGGTATAGAAGAGTGCGATACTGTGGGCTGGCGGCGTATATAGTGTAATGTACCAACTCCCAACTGGATACATCCTTCAATTATTGGAAGATTCCTTTCGGTGAAATCTGCAGAAAAATGGCGCTAATGAGAGGAGAGCCGCTGGTGAGGAAACTCGCTGTGTTCGCCAAGTACGCTGTTCTGCCGGCAGCCATGGCCGCCGCTCTCCTTTACTCTCCTCCCGATTACGTTTATTACAAGAATGACGATAAGTCATCCAAATAGGACACTTTCCCCCTCCTGTTTTGTTCGTCTCGATCTGTCATCCCTTAGGGTCAGCGCTTTTCAATTTTCATCCTTATTCTGAGTTTTTTCTAAGATATTGATAGATGATTTTGCCTGACTGCTGCATATTATATGTCAACGAACGCGTTCCCTTCTATTTGAATAAATGTTTGGTTTGGTTGCAATCAGCAATTGATGTTTCGTGTATCTGATAATCATTGGCTACGAAATTGATAATGATCATAATTGACGGATTTGTACTTGTTTTCGTGACTTTCCGTAGCTAAGAAACGTGTTCTTATACTTCCCTCGTCGTGGTGATTGAGGTATACAAAACGTATTTGAACTTGTCTCTACATTTTTTGCCTTTCTCTGAGTAACTTCTAATCGAATCTTTTCTTGATAACTCTGTTTTGATTTTGCGGGAAATTAGACCGAATAAACTAGGTTTAGAATGGATGAAAGTAGGCCTTATTAGATCCAACTTTGCAGACTTCTTGTTTTTCTAGGATCATCATCTAGATGACCAGCCATTTAATGGGCATATTAGTAGTTGATCTCCCTAACTTCATCATTGATTATGCCTCTATTGCTTGAACGTAAGGTTGCTTATTCTCGATGGTAAACCCCTGGACACACTGCGCACATGTAAAAGAAAATTTCCTAAGCCAGCCATCCATTGTTGAGGATTGTTGAGAGTGAGTTCCACATTGGCTAATTTAGGCAATGATCATGGCTTTATATGCAAGGAATACTATCTCTCTTGGTATTAGGCCTTTTGGGAAAGCCCAAAGCAAAGCCACGAGAGCTTACGCTCAAAGTGGACAATATCATACCATTGTGGAGGGTTGTGATTCCTAACATCCATGCCCATGGACTTTGAAATTTACAATCTTTGCTGCATCATAATTTCTTGATACCTCGACGTATGGGTTTCAGACTATGGCTTTAATTTGCAGAAAAAATGTTTGGAATTGCGTTGAATGCTATACGAGTATTATGAGCTCTGGCGTTGATTTTCTGTTCTCTTGTTATGCAGGACCGTCTGATCATGTAGGCTTGCATTTGCAGAGTTGTATTCCTCTTATGTTGATAATGGTGTGTACTGGACTTATTATCATCATCTCTCAATAACTCGTAGTTTGTTTTACTTTTGTGGCTTCATCTTCGGAGAAAAAAATAATAATTTGTTTCCTTGAAGAATATTCAATATGGGAAGTATAAATTTCCTGTTCTTATTTTTCTTTTCGTTCCCTTAATAAATTTTGAAGAAAGTTTCTGGGATAACATGGCCGTGAAAGTGGAGACTGAACCATGAGATGGAAGTGGGAACTATATGAGATACATGCCTGCAAATGTTATGTGCTCGTATGAAAATTTTACAGTAATAAAATGGTGGATATGAAGAAATCCCACGATCAGAACAACTCGTTTTCATTCACACAGTCCATATAGTACCAACCCTTTGGTCCTGTCCACTATTGAATTGAAACAAAATTTCCAGATTTACGTGACTGGGAGTGTTGACGATGATGGAGGATAGAGGTGTTAATGTCTGGTTGTGATAGAAATATTTTGAACTTTTGTAAAACAAACAAGGTGCAGTGACTACAAGTAGGAGTTTCAACTCCGATATTTTAATAACTCTCCTTTCAATGTTTGGTGCGACATAAAGTAGAGGGAGCTCAAAGATCAACATCATGAGAAGGATAAGTTTAGGTGATTGGAGTAGTTTAGCCAACTCTTGCGACTCCATGTCCAGCAGTGCAAGGGATATGAATTAGGGGCCTCACCTCACCCTGGGTTTTGCAATATGAGATTATGTTGAAATTATATTCCCTGGAAATTTTTTGAACTGTTTTATTGGATAGAATGCATGGAAGCAAGAGTATGGTGGATTACTCTGCAAACTTAGCCGGGTATTCTTGTGGTCGATTAACTCTGTTTTTTTAGGAATGGGTTGGGGACAAAACAACAAGGATGAGAGAGTTGGAGAGTTTTGGGTGTAAGAATTGGAAATTCAAAATTAGAAAAAAGAGAGCTTGAAGCCTGGGCAGAATGGTATGGATCTTGTTTGATTTGGACTCTCAAAGTTAGGTAATTTGGTTCGAAATTAACTAAAATTCATGCCATCTAAGCCAGAATTGGTTGGATTGTTGCGGGATTGCATGAATCCCGGACGGAAGGGATCATCAAATCGACTAGAATTTAGGCAGCAATCTCGGTCAAAAGAAATATTTGGTACATGCAGATACAGGTTTGACGCTAAGCTACCTACTCGGGTAGTAACAAAAGCAGGCTAAAAGTTGTTCAAAAAACGTCTAAGCATCTGAAGGCCAAGATTCTCCACGGGCATGGACGATGTTTTGATGTTCTAGGGATGTAACATTGTCTGTTGAACACAAACAATTATATCAGTCTTAAACTGAAAGCCAAGCTTAGAGCTGCCTTCACAAAAATGAGTATTAATACTTTTGTACTTTTCCCTCTTTATCTATTATACTTCCATTTGGGTAACAAATTAAATACATGGAATCCAAAACCAAAAGCTGCACGCCACTCGTTTACATCAGACGAAACTCATCTCTAATGAATTGGTGTACTACTTCGAATGGAGTTGGCGGTTGAACGTGACGACATGTCCTCGCGTTCACCAACAGACAGACGGGAGGAAGCAGAAGCAGTATTATTGTGGAGAAACAACCTTATAAACCAAACTCCAGCGTACTCATCTTCCTTCTCGTTCTCTTCCAACGACCTTCCGGTGGTCTCTCTGGTGAACAAATACGTCACCGCCACTCCCACCAGACTCGCCCCACCAAGTATTATCAGCGACGCCTGCATCCCAATTCCATTATCCGACCGGTCGTGCGAAGCCCAAAGGAACCCCACGGCCCCGATGATGGCCCCGATTTTGCCAGCCGCGCCGGAGATTCCATGGCAGGTGGATCTGAACCTGGCGGGAAAGAGCTCGGCAGGGAGAATGAAAGTGGTGGTGTTGGGGCCGAAGTTTGAGAAGAAGAATGTGAGGCAGTAGATTACCATGAAGCCAAATTTGTGATCGGAGTCCCAGTATCTGTTGTAGGGAATGGCGATGGCGAAATAGCCAATGCCCATGAAGAGAAACCCCATGATTTGGATTTTCACTCGGCCGAGTCGGTCGATGAAATAGACGGAGACCCAGTAGCCAGGAATGGTGGAACAGACGGCCACGATGGCTTGGAGTTTGGCTTCGTTGAAGGCGTCTCGGTAGACGTTGCGGCTGAGTTTTGGGGGAAGGAATTGGGTATAGATTCTGGATTGGAAGAGGTTGCTGCTGTAGAACACAACGTCGACGAGGAACCAAGCGGCGGCGCAGGAGAGAAGGTCGCGGCCGTGGCGACGGAGAAATTCGTTGGAAAAGAAGGGGAAATTTGGAGGGGGAGGGGAAACAGGGCTGTCCTCGGTGATATCAGCCAACGACACATCCAACACCTTCTCCATGTCCTTCGCCGCTTGTGCCACATTCCGCTCAACCAGAGCTGTGTATCTGTCATCAAATCAAATTTGGGCATTTGAAGAAGGAATTTCTTTGAAAATCAGCCATTTTTATTTCTTAGAAGCTCAATTCTTGTTCTAAAATTCCATTGCTCCAATAATAAAATAATAAGAAATTAAATTGAAATTTTTTAATTTGTGGAAAAGGATATTTAAAATACTAAATTATGATGATTGATTGCATCAAGAAACACCTACTCTCGAGAATTATTTTTAAGACCAAGAAAGTCAACCGCTCAATTTGGTTGGTCCGATAATTTCCACACGAACTTCAGAAAAGAAAGGAGGAAAACAAAAAGGAATTGACCTGGCGGTTTCCGGCATCATCATTCGCCAGTAATAAGTCATCGCCGCCGGAAGAGCGCCGAGCAGGAGAATCAACCTCCAAGCAATATCCGCCCCCATGGGGGTATGATTGCTGGGTGGGTAATTGGAGGCCCGATCGAATATGGAGCACACGATCATGGTCACCGTGGAGCTGGCCAAGATCCCGAATCCCTGCATCGAGAACACCGCCGCTATGAACGCTCCACGTGTCTTCTTGTTGGCGAACTCCGACATTATGGTCGCCGACAATGGGTAATCTCCCCCAATTCCCAGTCCCAGAAGGAACCTGAAGAACCCTAGGCTGACAAGGACGCAGCTCCTTGTGGTGCAGATTGAGAACCCACATCCGATGGAACTCAGCACCATCAGCGCCAATGCGAGTCCGTACACGCGCCGTCGTCCCACTCGATCTCCGAGTATGCCGAACACCACTTGACCCGTGGCGGTGCCGAGAAGGGCGACGGCGAGCATGGCGGATTTGACGGCGGCGGGAATCTCGTAGTGTTTGTCCTGGTAGTACACACGTCCGACGAGGGTCATAACGGGAGTGATGCTGAAGAGATCGTAGGCGTCGGTGAAGAGGCCCATCCCGGCGATGACGATGGCCTTGAAATGGTACAATTGGGTTTTGGCAGTGTCGAGAGCGGAGAGCACTTTGAGGCCCATGGTTAGGATTGAGGTTTCAATGGCGGAAATCAAAGAAGATGAGATGAAGAGGAAGGTTGTGTTTGATTTGATTTGATGGGAGCGTGGACTATTGAGGAAGACGAAGCTTTGAAGGGTTTCCAGATACCTTGAATATGCGAATCGGGAAGCATTTCTTCCCTGGCTTGATCCCTCAGACTGTTGGGTATAATAATAAATTAAATTATTTAGTTTAATTTGACTTTTTCAAACTAGCATTTCATTTCCATCTTCTTCCATTTACAAACTGTTAATATATGTTTTTATGTTTTCAAAAAAATGGATAAAGGGATTGGAAATAACGAAGATTCCAGTGTCTGAAAATTCGTGAAGACTAAGGTTCTCCTCTGCTCCGCTCCGAATCTGTGTCGGACATTTCTTTCTAGACAAGCCAAAGAAAATAGCATGTCACTTTCAGGATGCGGCATCGACGAGGCAGAGACTAAAAATACCAAACTTGCGAACAGGGGGAGTCCGTCTCTTTCTTTATAAAGGTAAAGATGGGGTTTTTGATCCCAATGGATGGCTAGGATGTGATCAAATGCTCTTTTCAGCGTAGCTTTGATTTGAGAGCAGAACAGGACGGAACAGGGGATCCTTGAATCTTCTCGTAATTTGGTTCTCTGTCTGTCGGTTTCTTTGGAAAAAAAAGGAAAGATTGGAGTTGACCCCACTTTTGTTCTGCTACAGCCTGTGTGTGTATATAAACCCTTCTGCCCTCTCCCCTGCTTCTCCTCTGCACTTCAGCTCTTGAACCCTCCATTTGTTTGCTCTGTTTCCTCCAGGCCATCCACTTCCATGGAGGTAACCATTTAATCCATGTAGATCAGTATTAATATAGTATTATTACTATTATGTGAGGGGACTAATAATGTGCTTGGGCGGTGTACCAGACAGTTGAGTTGAAAGTGGAGATGGTCGGAATCCACGAGAAGAGGCTGAGAAAGAGCTTGGCGAAGTTGAAAGGTAAAGGAAAAAGGAAGAGGAGGAGGAATTGAATGCATGTGAATGTTAATAATGTGAATGTTAATAATGTGAATGTTAATGTGAGCAGGGGTGGAGAAGGTGGAGAAGGTGGAGGTGGGCGCAGGCACCCAGAAGGTGGCGGTGAGGAGCTACATTCACCGGAACAAGATACTGAAAGCGATTAGAAGGGGTGGGCTGAAAGCCGACTTCTGGTCCGCCCAAAACGAGCTCCTTAATGCTTACGCCACCACTTACGGAGCCTTCAGATTCTGCCCCTACACATCCTTCTTCTTCTAGACCTTTACCTTTTTTCCCTTTTGCTTTTCGCTTGGAGAGCATACCCAGGTTCTGTTTTGCCTCTCTTTTCTAATTCATTTTTTGGTTGTAGGAGCATCACACCAAACACACTTGTATGGATTCTTAGTTTTATATCAACCTTCAACCCTCAAATTTTTCTAAACTTCTCTACCTACTCATTTCTGCTATTTTCTTTCATCATTATAGCTCTAAGTCTTTCATCATTATAGCTCTAAGTCCTCCATAGCTCTAAGTCCTCCACGCGCGACCTTATGCATTCTAAAATCCAACTAAATCTCAACGGTACTACCGTGGACTCCTACCACTCATGGCAGGTTTACACAAAAGAAACTAATTGACAACTTACAAGAAGTCCCCACTAAGTACTACCAACAATAAAATAACACATGTATAATAACATTCAACATGTGTCATCTCAAGTCATTTCACGCTCAAACTTTTGACAATAAGTTTCCTATGACAAGTTTATATCGTACTAAAGACATACTCTAAATTTAGAGCAAATCATAGCTCAAAGAGTTCATTTCTCGATAAACATGCATTATAACGTTTAATGTGCTCTTACATATGTCAAATCAACTCATTTCATGCTTAAATTTCTATGACATGCTTCTTATATCATACTTTCATGAACATAGCTAAATTCAAGGTTTCGAGGTGACACTTACTTAGGAAGTGTGACACTTTTTTGTTTAAGTTTCGGTCTTGAGAAATTCTAAAATCTGCCAAACTCCTACAATAGGCCCTACGTAGAAAGAAAAACAAAAGTCAATGAAAGTTAAAACGAGGAAACTGTGCAAAATTTTACCCCCTAATCGATTTAGTTGAGTCGGGTTATATGAACAAATCTACAAATATCATTAAAAAAATAATAATAATAAATAAATAATCATTACTTAAAATGAAAATTTTTAAAAGTCCGAAAATTCTATGGATACTTTTAAAAACTTAATTTTTAACGCCAAACCACTTTTGAGTTAAAACGAAATAGGCTGGATCTTAAATTCTCTGGAAGACTTGGTTTTCTCTGAGATTTCGTCAAAGTCGCTGATACTGTCTGCAATTACTCCAAATTTCGATCTCACGAGATGCATTTGAGCGCCAATGAAGGCATTGAAGCCAACACCTTCGTCGTTACCGGCGCATTGGGCTTCGTCGGCTCCGCCCTCTGCTTAGAGCTTGTCCGCAGAGGTGCTCTTCAGGTCCGAGCCTTTGACCTCCGACCAGCTTCTCCTTGGTCCGACGACCTCAAGATTCACGGAGTCAAAATCATCCAAGGTTCATTCCTTTCTGCAATTAGGTCCCCCTTTTACTGTTTGTTTTGCGATTAGCCTTGGAGGCGCGACTATAATCTTTCATCTGTACGCATGCACTTCGATCATCCTGGCGCTACTTGTCTCTATTGAAATCTTTTTATGGCTTTCATTCCTTTCCCCTAGAACGGTCTTGTCGGAATTTTCGATGATTTGCATATTCAGTAATGCGTATCTGCTGCAATCTCTCTAGTGATTAAAAGTAAACTCGAGTACAACACACTAGGCTTCTCTCGATGTTAACTCTTGCAGTCATGTAGGGGATGTTACCTGTAAAAAGGATGTGGAAAGAGCTGTTCGTGGTGCTGATTGTGTATTCCACCTGGCGGCATATGGATTGTCGGGGAAAGAAATGCTTCAAGTTGGTCGCATCGATGAGGTTAATATTAATGGAACATGCCATGTCTTGGATGCTTGCCTGGAGTACGGCGTTAGGCGGCTCGTTTATATGAGCACGTATAATGTAGTGTTTGGAGGTCAAGAGATTGTTAATGGCAATGAGGGATTACCTTATTTCCCAATTGATGATCATGTTGATGCATATGCTCGAAGTAAATCCATTGCAGAACAGTTAGTTTTGAAGACCAACGGACGCCCCTTAAAGTAAGTCAATTTTCTAGGATATATATAGATATATAGCTATCTTCGTAACTTCCATGGTATTGGGATTGCTCTTTGTGCAGTCATTAGGATATCTTCTGATGTGACTGAGGATTTGTGAAAGGAAAAATGAAAATTTGATTAAATAAAACTTATAGCATCCATCCAAGTTGTCATTGCATTTTTACAATGCCCATGCCATTATTTTCTTGCTCGTGCTTTTCATTTGTAGGAACAGGAATGGCAAATGTCTTTACACCTGTGCTATACGTTCTTGTGCTATCTACGGACCAGGGGAAGAGAGGCATTTTCCTAGGTTGGTCTCCTTGGCAAAGTTAGGCTTGCTACACTTTAGGGTTGGGAAGCCAAGTGCTAAAACTGACTGGATCTATGTGGATAATCTCGTGCTGGCTTTGATATTGGCATGCGTGGGGCTTTTGGACGACATTCCCGTTAAAGGAGGAGCCCCAGTAGCTGCTGGCCAGCCATATTATGTATCAGATGGTAGCTCTGCACCCTTCCTTACTTTTCACAACCCTCCCCTCCACACTATGTAGTTTGCTTCAATATGGTGCTGTTTTGTTTCCATCACTAGACGATGGGGCTTTGCTGACAATCTCTCTATTTGCATCAGGTTGTCCAGTTAATTCTTACGAATTTATGAAGCCTCTGCTCAATAGCTTAGGTTATGACTTGCCAAATTCTTACCTGCCTGTTCCTAAAGCTCTTCTCTTGGGGAAATTTTTTGCTGTATTGTACACAATATTATATCCATGGCTGGATAGATGGTGGCTTCCACATCCTCTGATGCTTCCTCCTGAGATTTACAAGGTTATTACCATTATTATTGTTTACTGTTGCACCTGCAAACATGCAAATGGTCTTGCTGAATGTTTTGACATCTAATTGCAACCAAATTTTGAGGAACAATTACACGGTCAAATCGTTCTTTCCTTCACCATCTCTATAATGCTCCTTAATAATGTGGAGAATGCTTCCATGCTGAATTCCGAATGAACTCCTCTGAATCCTAATTAGTTTGCATATATCGTGCAGGTTGGCGTGAGTAATTATTTCTCGTATCTTAAAGCCAGGGAGGAGCTGGGGTATGTACCAATGGTGACACCAAAGGAGGGCATGGCTGCAACCATCTCATATTGGCAGGAGAGAAAAAGGAAGAGTCTCGATGGGCCAACAATATATGCGTGGCTGTTCTGTGTTGTCGGAATGAGCATCATGTTTTGTGCTGCTTTCCTTCCAGACGTAGGACCTGTTCCATTTTTCAAAGGCATCAGCCTTTTCTTCTTTAGGTCAATTCAAGTGGTGAGAATGGTGTTTCTTATAGCCTTTCTACTGCATGTTGGTGAGGGTACTTATGCATGGTTCTTAGCCAGAAAGGTGGATCCTGCTAACTCAAGGGGATGGTTTTGGCAGACTTTTGCTTTAGGCTTCTTCTCCTTGCGCTTATTGTTGAAAAGAGCAAGGAGTTAAAGGGGCAGCCCCTATGTGTTGTTAGCAAACGAGAGATAGCTGAAGAAGAAAAGTCCCGTTTGTAATAATACTCTCTCTTTGAGACTATTTAGCATCAAAGTAGTAGCGCAATAATTGAAATGAACACATCATTTGATTTGTAATGCCATCACTATCAAAACAAAACACAACTATTTCACGTCTGTTCTTTCCAAGCCAACTCAAACTGGAACTAGAGTAACATTAGACAACAGAACACCAGATTCCACGTTAGCCCCCGCCATGTTAACAAATCAAGCGAGTTAACGAAGCAACCTCGAGTTTCACATCCAAGATACGGTGTTATTATTGCAGGCTCCAGCACTGTGATCAAATGGACTCCCAGGCCCTCCCGAGGATATTTCACGGCTGCTGCTAGTTCCCGTCATTCCAGCACGGATGGGAGCAAGTTTATGGGGTGCGGTAAAAGGCGGCTGTTCTATTTGGTCTGCTTGCCTCAACTCCTTGTGCCCCCCATCAGTCACCCCACCACCTAATACTCTACCGTCCGGTCCAGATAATGAAACACTTAGACCTCCAGTTCGACTCCCGCTGACCGCCATTCTCGGAGAAGAGATATGACCCAGATAGAGACAAAATCTCGAATAGCCCCTGTATAACACATAAATTCCATCTGGTTTAAGATAAGGAAAGAAGAAGGTCTATTTAGAGGCATGAAGATGGGGACACTAAGAAATTATGATCCAGGCAGGCATACGTTGAACATTCAAAAGAGAAGTAGAAATTATCAAACCTGGTAAGTGACGGTTCCAGCAGACATGGCTGGTTGACGTAGAGTCACATTGGATGTTGCACCATTTGCTGTAAGGATGCAAACAGCTCTAGGCCCATTCTGGGAAAATGACATTATTTTCGAACAGACATCCTGGAAAACATTTACGTCTCCTTATTCTCACTCAACTATTCATTTTCAGAAAAGTAAAACACACAAAAATATGAACCTCTCCAGCTTCCACGGTGATGACATGTGGGGTAAATCCAACTCCTGATGACCCTACAGTTACAACTATACAATATTTCAAGCGGTAATCACAATATCAGAGTCCAAATCGAGCCCCCAAGAATGAAAACTCTGCATTACAAGGGAAGACACCCAATTTTAACCACATTTGCAGCAGAGGCTAAAGGTTTTGAAAGTTCTGTACATGCAAATCAATGATGAGAGTGATATGGATGACCGAAGTGATGGAGAAAGCAATGTGGACGAACACAATGCAACTATCTTAGATATCAAGAACCAGAATCAGTTAAGTACCAACACTAGACGCCAATTAGTTACAAAGGGATGCGGAATAAGTAAGTTACCCAGAGCATCACACTGCTTCTTGTTGGTAGAGCCAGGGGGTCTCCCTCTGGCTTTCTTCAAAGAATTTGGCGTGGAAGTGGGAGGAGGAAAAAAACCTCCACTGCACCGAGTTGCGACGGCAGAGGGAACTGCAGGAGGCAGCCCCACACTGCCATCTGGGCCCAAAAGTTGGGCCTGATCCCGTTGCTAACTCTATAAATTTGAATTTCAAAAACAGGGGGACAACTAACATACTCGACGCTCCGATTTGGGCTCTCAATTCCTTTTCTGTGGAGAAAGGGAGAGAGAGAGAAATGGAGAGGTGCCAACCACTGCTTCAGTCATGGATGGGTTCGAGAAGCTTGAGAAGGTCGGAGAAGGAACTTACGGC